GGATGGAAAATTTTGAAACTTTTTGCATGTAAAGAGAAAGGTGAGAAGATCATTTTCCCAAAATTTCAAATTTTTCCAGTAGAAAATTACAACATAAGGAATCTTAGAAATCAACCTACAATAACTGGATTAATTGAAAATACAGTCTCACATATTTCAAAGTTTTCCTGGAAAACTAGTGAAGGGAACATTTTGAAACTTTTTGCATGTAAAGAGGAAGGTGAGAAGCTCATTTTCCCAAAATTTCAAATTTTTCCAGTGGAAAATAACAACATAAGGAATATTAGAAATCAACCTACAATAACTGAATTAATTGTAAATACAGTCTCACACATTTCAAAGTTTTTCTGGAAAACTAGTGAAGAGAAAATTTTGAAACTTTTTGCATGTAAAGAGGAAGGTGAGAAGCTCATTTTCCCAGAATTTCAAATTTTTCCAATAGAAAATTACAACATGAGGAATCTTGAAAATTAACCTACAATAATTGAATTAGTTGAAAATACAGTCTCACATATTTCAAAGTTTTCCTGGAAAACTACTGAAGGGAAAATTTTGAAACTTTTTGTATGTAAAGAGGAAGGTAAGAAGCTCATTTTTCAAAAATTTTTAATTTTTCCAGTGAAAAACAGCAACATAAAAAATCTTGGGAATCAGCCTACAAAAACTGAATTAGTTGAAAATACAGTCTCACACATTTCAAAGTTTTGATGGAAAACTAGTGGATTGAAAATTTTGTAACTTTTTGCATGTAAAGAGAAAGGTGAGAAGCTCATTCTCCCAGAATTTCAAATTTTTCCAGTAGAAAATTACAGCATGAGGAATCTTGTAAATCAACCTACAATAACTGAATTAATTGAAAATACAATCTCACATGGTATTTCAAAGTTTTCCTGGAAAACTAGTGAAGGAAACATTTTGAAACTTTTTGCATGTAAAGAGGAAGGTGAGAAGCTCATTTTCCCAAAATTTTAAATTTTTCCAGTGGAAAACAGCAACATGAAAAATCTTGGGAATCAACCTACAAAAACTGAATTAGTTGAAAATACAGTCTTACACCTTTCAAAGTTTTCCTGGAAAACTAGTAGAGGGAACATTTTGAAACTTTTTGCATGTAAAGAGGAAAATAAGAAGCTCATTTTCCCAAAATTTCAAATTTTTCCAGTGGAAAACAGCAACATGAAAAATCTTGGGAATCAACCTACAAAAACTGAATTAGTTGAAAATATAATCTCACATATTTCAAAGTTTTCCTGGAAAACGTGAAGGGAAAATTTTAATTTTTTTTGCATATAAAGAGAAAGGTGAGAAGATCATTTTCCCAAAATTTCAAATTTTTCTAGTGGAAAACAGCAACTTGAGGAATCTTGGAAATCAACCTACAATAACTAGATTAATTGAAAATACAGTCTCACGTATTTCAAAGTTTTCCTGGAAAACTAGTGGAGGGAAAATTTTGGAACTTTTTGCATGTGAAGAGGAAGGTGAGAAGCTCATTTTCCCAAAATTTCAAATTTTTTCCAGTGGAAAATAACAACATAAGGAATATTAGAAATCAACCTACAATAACTGAATTAATTGTAAATACAGTCTCACACATTTCAAAGTTTTTCTGGAAAACTAGTGAAGGGAAAATTTTGAAAATTTTTGCATGTAAAGAGGAAAGTGAGAAGCTCATTTTCCCAGAATTTCAAATTTTTCCAATAGAAAATTACAACATGAGGAATCTTGAAAATTAACCTACAATAACTGAATTAGTTGAAAATACAGTCTCACACATTTCAACGTTTTCCTGGAAAACTAGTGAAGGGAAAATTTTGGAACTTTTTGTATGTAAAGAGGAAGGTAAGAAGCTCATTTTTCCCAAACTTTAAATTTTTCCAGTAGAAAACAGCAACATAAAAAATCTTGGGAATCAGCCTACAAAAACTGAATTAGTTGAAAATACAGTCTCACACATTTCAAAGTTTTGATGGAAAACTAGTGGATGGACAATTTTGAAACTTTTTGCATGTAAAGAGAAAGGTGAGAAGATCATTTTCCCAAAATTTCAAATTTTTCCAGTAGAAAATTATAACATAAGGAATCTTAGAAATCAACCTACAATAACTGGATTAATTGAAAATACAGTTTCACATTATTTCAAAGTTTTCCTGGAAAACTAGTGAAGGAAACATTTTGAAACTTTTTGCATGTAAAGAGGAAGGTGAGAAGCTCATTTTCCCAAAATTTCAAATTTTTCCAGTGGAAAACAACAACATAAGGAATCTTAGAAATCAACCCACAATAACTGGATTAATTGAAAATACAGTCTCACACATTTCAAAGTTTTTCTGGAAAACTAGTGAAGGGAAAATTTTGAAACTTTTTGCATGTAAAGAGGAAGGTGAGAAGCTCATTTTCCCAGAATTTCAAATTTTTCCAATAGAAAATTACAACATGAGGAATCTTGAAAATTAACCTACAATAATTGAATTAGTTGAAAATACAGTCTCACATATTTCAAAGTTTTCCTGGAAAACTACTGAAGGGAAAATTTTGAAACTTTTTGTATGTAAAGAGGAAGGTAAGAAGCTCATTTTTCAAAAATTTTTAATTTTTCCAGTGAAAAACAGCAACATAAAAAATCTTGGGAATCAGCCTACAAAAACTGAATTAGTTGAAAATACAGTCTCACACATTTCAAAGTTTTGATGGAAAACTAGTGGATTGAAAATTTTGTAACTTTTTGCATGTAAAGAGAAAGGTGAGAAGCTCATTCTCCCAGAATTTCAAATTTTTCCAGTAGAAAATTACAGCATGAGGAATCTTGTAAATCAACCTACAATAACTGAATTAATTGAAAATACAATCTCACATGGTATTTCAAAGTTTTCCTGGAAAACTAGTGAAGGAAACATTTTGAAACTTTTTGCATGTAAAGAGGAAGGTGAGAAGCTCATTTTCCCAAAATTTTAAATTTTTCCAGTGGAAAACAGCAACATGAAAAATCTTGGGAATCAACCTACAAAAACTGAATAAGTTGAAAATACAGTCTCAGACATTTCAAAGTTTTCCTGGAAAACTAGTGAAGGGAAAATTTTGAAACTTTTTGCATGTAAAGAGGAGAGTGAGAAGCTCATTTTCCAAAAAATGTCAAATTTTTCCAGTGAAAAACAGCAACATGAAAAATCTTGGGAATCAACCTACAAAAACTGAATTAGTTGAAAATACAGTCTTACACATTTCAAAGTTTTCCTGGAAAACTAGTAAAGGGAACATTTTGAAACTTTTTGCATGTAAAGAGGAGAGTGAGAAGCTCATTTTCCAAAAAATTTCAAATTTTTCCAGTGGAAAACAGCAACATGAAAAATCTTGGGAATCAACCAACAAAAACTGAATTAGTTGAAAATATAGTCTCACACATTTCAAAGTTTTCCTGGAAAACGTGGAGGGAAAATTTTAAAACCTTTTGTATGTAAAGAGAAAGGCAAAAACATCATTTTCCCAAAATTTCCAATTTTTCCAGTAGAAAATTACATGAGAAATCTTGGAAATCAACCTACAAAAACTGAATTAGTTGAAAATACAGTCTCACATATTTCAAAGTTTTTCTAAGAAACTAGTGAAGGGATAATTTTGAAACTTTTTGCATGTAGAGAGGAAGGTAAGAAGCTCATTTTCCCAAAGTTTCAAATTTTTTCCAGTGAAAAACAATAACATAAAAAATTTTGGAAATCAGCCTACAAAAACTGTATTCATTATTCTTTTGAAGTTTTTAAATTTGGACCAGTAAATCATGAAGTGTAATTTTGAGAGGATTTCTTTAATAAAAATGAATATCCAACGTCCAACACGAAACTTTTTTTAAATTTTCATTTATTACTATTTCTTATAACAAGAATGTGACCCTCAGTGATGTCATGACCCTACAATTTCCTTTAAATTCCTCGCAAATTCTCCCAAATTCCCTATCAAAATTCTTCCGAATTCCCTATAAATTCCCTAAATTTTCAAAAATTCCGATGATTAAGAAAAGATTGAAATTCAGGAAAAAATAAAAATTACCTTCTGGCTGGAATTCTGTAACGGATAGAGATCGTTACCCTATCGCTATGACACTTGCTGTCTTCTTCTCTCTTTTTGTTACAGAATCCGTCGTTCACCTTTAAGGAGCAATTTGTGGGAAATCGAGGAATATGTGGGGAACTTGAAGGAATGTATGGGAAATTTGAGGAATGCATGAGAAATTGGGGGAATTTATTGGTTTTAATACTGAGCCTAATAAAAACAGAAAAATACATTATTTCTTCTCACAAACAATGTTAGGGATTTTTATGGAATTTGTAACAGGCATTTGCAGAGAATCGTTTGTAGGAATTTTGCAGGGAATTTGGAAGAATTTGTGGAGAATTTGGAGGAAACTGCGGGTACTTTGGGGAAAGTAAACAAAAAACCCATACAAAAATTCAAAAACTCACAATAGAAAATTTTAAAAACGCAGTTTTTTGCCAACTCAGCTTCTGATCCTTTTTGTTGGTTTCTGAGGACTCTGGAATTGATTCTTAAAGCTACTTTTCTCAGATAATTTCTTTTGAAATTTATTTTTCCAATTAGCCTTCAAGAATAGCGCTGCGAAGCCTCAAAGTCAAAAAAATCAAGAGGAGCGAAAACGAAATTAAATTTTCAAGACTTTATTTATCTAGTTGCATAATTTCAATCCCATCTCAAAATAATTAGGCTCAAATTGAAGCCAACTAAAGTGTCTACAACTCCCCAATTTGTAAGTTTCAAAGTAGGAAATTCAATATTATCTTGATCTATTGGAATTTTTTCCAAATCATCCTCATATTTTTATAAACAATAAGTCAAAATACATTTGAATAAAAACGAAATTTTACCAAACAAAAATTTATAACATCTGGTATTCTATTGGGATGACAAAATCCCTAAATCTCTAAACCATGAAGAACCACAATGTAGCGTAGTACCCAAAAAACCAATAAAAAAACCAAAACTCTTACCTTTCGAATTATCTCCAGTGTAGTTCAAGTAGCGACAAAGCCTTTTAGCCAGTAAGCTCTTACCACGTCCGGGTAAACCAACCATGGCTACTAGCAAAGGGCTGAACTGCTTCAAAGGGCCCCTTTTCGGTGCCGCGCCGCCTTGAGCACCTGAAACGACAAAACGTGTCCCGTTCATTGCAACAATAATACTGAACTGTAACTAGTTGTGCTTCGACTCTTATTATAATTGAATATTGTTTAAACAATTTGTGTGTTTTGTTGGCGATAGCAGTAATAATAATTTAATTGTTTTTTTTTTTGAAAGAGGGAGACAAAGGAATGACGTAACGCTTTTGGAGTGATAAAAATTTTGTTTTTGTGATAAGTACCTTTTTCCTGAAACATTTTTGAAGTTTTCAAAATTGGACTAAAATTGTCACACCCTTTTATCGGTAAAGTTAACAGTCACATTTAAATTTCCGTGTTGACTTTGGTATTAACATGTTTTCCTTTTTTTCTCACATGCACTAAAATAATTAAGTTGTTTGTCACTTTGCTTAATTAGGTACTTATACTTTCCTATGGCCTCTTTCTAAAATAGCACATTGTAAATATTTCAAAGCTCATTATTTCCTGACCTGAATCGAATTTTAAATAAATGCACCTGTGGACAAAAGTTAAATTCGTCCCAAAAACTGAGAAAATCAAAAATAGAATTTCTTGGGACTTTGGCCTTTTCAATTACCCGGAAAACGTTTTTGATTTATTTATAGCCTACAACTTTTGAGTAAATAATGATGAACAAAAAGAGTTCATTTACAAAAACTTTGTACAAATAATGACTATCCCAGTGACTAGTCATTATCAATATACATTTGTCTGAATAATCGTTTTATTTGACTTTCACAGCCGAACTGGTCCACCCTTTAATTGATTATTAAGTTAATGATTTATTTACAAATAATGCATTAAGTTTGTTTCAGGCAATATTTGTTCTAGTTGCCCAAATCATATAATACACTTATGTATATTGATTATTCACAGTTTTCTATTAAAAGATCAAATATTTTATTTGTCAAAACTAACACTTATGTGAAAACCTGCTTTGATTTTAATAATTTAGTTCCAGTATATATTTTGCTGCTAAGATAAATAAATTTGAAACCGTGTCCTAAGTAATGTAATCACCAAATTTTCAATTATTATTGTGAAATACCCACATTTGAACTTGAACTACTTATTGTTATCAGCTGAAAAATAAGCATATTGGATTTCCCAAGTTGTTTTTAATGTTATCAGTTAAAAAACAATTTTGTTATAACAATTTTTAATAATAATGCAAGGGACCTGGATTATTTATAAGTAAAATATCAAAATGCAAATTTATTCTAGAATTAAATTTATGGCACTCTGCCTGTGAACTTTGGATTCGTACGTTTGAATAGTTGGTCAGTGACATACGTACATGATAAAAGTTTCGTCAGTTTTTTTTTTTTTTTTGGCTCAACAATTATCAAGATTTACGAAATCCTTCAAATCTGAGACAACAAGCTTAAAATTTTATCTGTAATTTCTCAGAATCCATTTACTTATCACGTTAAGTTGTAGAATGATGAGGCATAACAATAAATAACCCTTTAATTTAACAACCAAAAGGTTGCTTTTAAGTTAAGGACCGGTAAACATGTAAATAGTTAAACATCTAGAAAATGATAAGGCAAGGAATTCCCACACAAAGACAAGCACTTGTCGCAATTGAAATTTCATCAACACTTTAATTATAAAATGTAGACTTTGATCTGCTATAGCAGTTCAAACAAAGTAGAGTTAAATTTAAATCGAGGTGGCTTGGTTAAAAGTAACTTGTGAGAAAAGTCCATTCTGGTTTCACTCTTCTGATGGGTTAAATGAATAAACACAGGTTCTTTTCTTGGCATACTCAGTTTTATGCAAATAGATTTTATTTTTGTACCAGAGAGGTTCAAAATATTGAAACAAGGTTTTGGTATTTACATAATGTAGCAATCTACATAGACTAGACGTTATCATGCAAGGTTAAAAAGGTGACTCGTACATATATCGATGGATATAAGAAAAGATAAATTAGCTAAAAAGACATCTTCCTTGTTGAATATTAAATATTTAGTACTTTTACAATTTTGATAGTTTTGTAATAAATATTATAAAAAAAGTCACTATTAACATATACATTTTGCTTACTTTTGGAGCCTTAAAGAGTACCTATTAATAATTATTATCCCTACAAGACAATGTCAAACCTATTTGACAAAATTACAAAGAAATTGGAGAAACCCCATCTACATTAACAGAACAAAAAATCGAAGATATAGAATACGTATAAGTATAGATTTAATGAGAATGAAGAAGATCGAAGTGAAGCATCAGAATTGAAAATTTTACAGAAATTAAGTACAATCTCAGAAACCGTAAATCCAATAAAAGCCGTTCATATCTCACCCATGATTATGTTTTAATGGACTCAGAAATCGATTTTCTAAAAGAAAACAAAACCTGGGACATTGTAAAACTACCAGAAAACGCAAGAGTACTACCATATAAATAGATGTATAAGCTTAAAACCAATCCTGATGGTTCCATTAATGGTTATAAGACAAGGCTTTAACCAAAGAGAAAGCATTTCTTGTTGATGTGTCAACTGCATTTCTTTATGAGAAATTACAAAAGACCATCTAAGAGACCAAGGAAATGACCAAGTTTGTTCAGATTCTTTGTTAAAAATGTCATCTCATAAAAACTGTTCCAGGGATCCTGATGGTTATTCTACAAATTTTTCTTTATCTTTATACTCTTTATAGTTTCCGGTTTTAGTGATTCTTCTTCAGAAAATGATTTGGTTAGTATTTCACTTCCTGAAGCCAAGTTCTCCATTTCAGAAAAACTTATGGAAGATTTTTTTAGCATTTCATCCTATTGTTTGTTTTTTTGATAATGTTTTTGGCTTTCCTCTGTATACCTATATTATTGGATTTCGCTGGGTTCATGAACTCTATAAATCCTTGATTACTTGATAATGTCTGGTTATTCCAAGGGTTATTCTATTGAAAAACCCAGCACAATGCTAGCACAATTTGGTCTTATTATTTTTGAGGCTAACTTTTAAATAAGTATGACGTCTTATTAGTCTTGGATGTGTAATCTTTTGAATCCAGTGGTTTTAAACACAAAAGCCTTATAATGGACAAAAAGTAATTATTTTGGCATTCGTAGTCTGATTAAAAATATGCTGTAATTTTTTCTCTACGTTTTCGAATTTATTTCCAACATTTCTGGGATCGTTAATGACAATTTTTATAAAAATTGTATTACAGGCAAGGGGCAAATCGCTGGTAGAATTTTTTGTGCACACAAGTTCATTTTTTGTGGAATTTTTTTGGAGTTAATGACATTTTTGTGGAATTCTTGGTGTTTTTGTGGATTTTTTTTTTGGCATTTTTGATGAATTTTCTGGCATTCTTGTAACTGGATGAATTAAAATGTCCGAAGGGTTTTTCACCTAACAAGATTTGTACACTGATCAACAGTACTAACCAAGGGGCAAACCACCTAGGAAGTCTTTGCCGAAAATGTGGGGAATTCAGAGGAATTTGTGGAAAATTTAGAGGAATTTGTGAGGAATTTGATGGAACTCATCCGAATTGATGAGAATTTGGGGAATTTATAGGGAATTTGGAGGAATTTATGGGGAATTTGTGAAAATTTGTGAGAAATTTATGAGGAATTTAAAGGAAATTGTCAAATTTAAAAAATTCAAAAAAATAATGAATACAGTTTTGGTAGGCTGATTTCCAAGATTTTTCATGTTGTTATTTTCCACTGAAAAAATTTGAAATTTTGAGAAAATGAGCTTCTCATCTTACTCTCCTACATGCAAAAAGTTACAAAAATTTCCCTTTACTAGTTTTCCAGAAAAACTTTGAAATGTGTGAGACTGTATTTTCAACTTATTCAGTTTTTGTAGGTTGATTTCCAAGATTTTTTATGTTGCTTTTTTCCACTGGAAAAATTTGAAATTTTGGGAAAATGAGCTTCTTACATTCCTCTCTACATGCAAAAAGCTTCAAAATTTTCCCTTCACTAGTTTTCCAAGAAAACTTTGAAATGTGTGAGACTGTATTTTCAACTTATTCAGTTATTGTAGGTTGATTTTCAAGATTTTTCATGTTGCTGTTGAAAAATTTGAAATTTTGGAAAAATGAGCTTCTTACATTCCTCTTTACTTGCAAAAAGTTTCAAAATTTTCCTTTCACTAGTTTTCCAAGAAACCTTTGAAATGTGTGAGACTGTATTTTCAATTAATTCAGTTATTGTAGGTTGATTTCCAAGATTTTTCATGTTGCTGTTTTCAACTAGAAAAATTTGAAATTTTGGGAAAATGAGCTTCTTACATTCCTCTCTACATGCAAAAAGTTTCAAAATTTTCCCTTCACTAGTTTTCCAAGAAAACTTTGAAATGTGTGAGACTGTATTTTCAACTTATTCAGTTATTGTAGGTTGATTTTCAAGATTTTTCATGTTGCTGTTTTCAACTAGAAAAATTTGAAATTTTGGAAAAATGAGCTTCTTACACTCCTCTTTACTTGCAAAAAGTTTCAAAATTTTCCTTTCACTAGTTTTCCAAGAAACCTTTGAAATGTGTGAGACTGTATTTTCAATTAATTCAGTTATTGTAGGTTGATTTCCAAGATTTTTCATGTTGCTGTTTTCAACTAGAAAAATTTGAAATTTTGGGAAAATGAGCTTCTTACATTCCTCTCTACATGCAAAAAGTTTCAAAATTTTCCCTTCACTAGTTTTCCAAGAAAACTTTGAAATGTGTGAGACTGTATTTTCAACTTATTCAGTTATTGTAGGTTGATTTTCAAGATTTTTCATGTTGCTGTTTTCAACTAGAAAAATTTGAAATTTTGGAAAAATGAGCTTCTTACATTCCTCTTTACTTGCAAAAAGTTTCAAAATTTTCCTTTCACTAGTTTTCCAAGAAACCTTTGAAATGTGTGAGACTGTATTTTCAATTAATTCAGTTATTGTAGGTTGATTTCCAAGATTTTTCATGTTGCTGTTTTCAACTAGAAAAATTTGAAATTTTGGAAAAATGAGCTTCTTACATTCCTCTTTACTTGCAAAAA